GAAGCTATGCTCAAGGTATTATTCCATTTCTTTTTCATCCTGCTGTTGCTGGTTAACTCGGTGTTGACCCAGTCGACGGTGCGGCGACTGAGTTCCGGTGTAGAACGAACGGCGCTGTTCGATCTTCGAGCTTCCTTAGGAATAAAAGCCAGATTCTGGCCGAGGAAGTTAGACCCATGTACAAACTGGACAGGGGTGGAGTGCAGCAACGGCAGAGTCACCGGAATAAATTTGTCCGGTTTGCAACGAACTCGTGTTGGAAGTCTTTCCCCTTCTTTTTCTATCGATTCTTTGGTTCGATGTACTCAATTGGGTACCTTTAATTCTTCAGGATTTGCTCTTCCAGGGCAAATCCCTGATTGGTTAGGACAAAATCTTAGTGCACTCCAGGTGCTCGACCTTACGTCTAGCTCAGTCTTCGGTCCAATTCCTCCGTCAATTGGTTCTCTAAATCAACTCAATCGTCTTCTTCTTCCCAATAATTCCCTTACTGGGATTATCCCAGATTCTCTGAGGGAACTTTCTTCACTATCGATTCTAAATTTGTCGCTGAATATGTTAACAGGATCCATACCCTCTTCATTTTCAGCTCTCGCGAACCTCACAGCTCTTGATTTATCTTCAAATTTCTTATCTGGCCCGATCCCTATGAACTTCGGTTCATTTTCTAGTCTTCAATCCTTAAATCTTTCCAACAATAGTCTTGCTTCTTCTCTCCCTACACAGCTTGGAAATCTTTCTCAGTTAGTTGACCTTGATCTTGGATTCAATTCATTCTCTGGATCATTTCCAAATGAACTAGGTCATTTAACCAATTTGAGGAGATTATCTGTTAAAAACAATAATTTGGGTGGAAATCTTTCTTCCAACTTCACACCAAATATCATCCTTCTTGATGTATCAAGCAACAACTTCACTGGCAATCTCCCAGACCTCTCAACATTCCCAAACACTTCTGGTGTCACCTTAAACTTCTCAAACAACCAATTCTACGGAATCCTCAATTCCAGTGTCTCAACTCTGGATTCCATCGATCTATCCAACAACTATCTCCAGGGTTTAAATGTCAATCTTGAAAACACAACTTCGATATCAAGAAACTGCTTCATTCGAATCCCAAACCAAAGAAGCTTAGATGATTGTAGAACATTCTATCGTCTAAGAAATCTCCCTTTCAATGGTGATTCCAATTCCAATCCTACAACTCCATTGCAACCTCAACTCCCTAGAAAGAGCAACAACAACCGTTTGAAATACGTTATGGCTGGAGTTTTTGGTGGACTTGGTGTCTTTATAATCATAGTTATGATACTATTTTTAGTATTTAAACCATGTAATAAAAGATCAGTTAGCCAAAGAAGTGCAAATGTAGAACCTGTTCAAGAAGAAGGAATCGAAAAGGGTCAAACCATTTCAGTCAACTTAATGTTTGATTCATTTTCATACGAGCAAATTTTACAAGCCACAAGTGGTTTCAGTGATTCAAATCTCATGAAACATGGACACACTGGAGACATCTTTAAAGGGAAATTAGAAGATGGAGTTTCTATTGTTGTGAAAAGAGTCGATATGCGTGTGTCAAGAAAAGATTGTTACATGTCAGAATTGGAGTTGTTTGGAAAGGGTATTCACACAAGATTAGTGCCACTTTTGGGACATTGTTTGGAACATGAAACTGAGAAGCTTCTTGTTTATAAATTCATGCCAAATGGGGATCTTTCAAATTCATTGTATAGGTCTACAAGTTTGGAAGATTCTGGTTTACAATCTTTAGATTGGATCACAAGATTAAAAATTGCTATTGGAGCTGCTGAAGGGTTATCTTATCTACATCATGAATGCAATCCTCCCATTGTTCATAGGTATTATTCTAACAACTTCATTCTTTTTAACTTAATAATTTTACACACTGTGTACTTGATTTACATCTAACATGATGTTTATCAAGAATGGCAGTGTGGGCCAGCTTAGGGGTTGTTGGAAGAAAAACTTTTTTTACAGATACTTTATTGTTTTTATTTATTATTATTTATAGAGATATTCAAGCAAGCAGTATTCTACTTGATGATAAATACGATGTACGTCTTGGAAGCTTGAGTGAAGTTTGTGTTCAAGGAGTGGAAGACAATCAAAATGTTATCTCAAGGCTTTTGCGGATTTCATCGTAAGAATTATTAACAAAATAATATTTTATATTGTCTTATTTCACTTTCTTTTTATTGTTTCTCTTACAAACATATTTATATCTTTTTCTCCTTTGTATATGTCCAGGAACTCTGAACCAACTCCTTCTGGTACGTACAGACAGTAACAGTAACAGTAACAGTAACAGTCATATCTTTGAGTTGAAACTTTTGGATAGGACAAAAAAGTACTATTTTAATAAAATGACATCAGTCCCAGTGCAGTATATGTCAAACACAGTATAACCTATTTTGATATGAAGAAACATTATCAATTTGAAACTTATATTTGTGAATTTATTTATTTACCAAACAGGGTCATCATCACCACCAATTTGTGCATACGATGTGTATTGTTTTGGAAAGGTGTTATTGGAGCTTGTAACAGGCAAAATCGGAATAAATAATTCAGAATGGGTGGAGCAAACATTGTCTTTCATCAACAACTATGACAAAGAACTTGTATCCAAGATTATTGACCAATCTTTAGTGATAGATGAAGACTTAATGGAAGAAGTGTGGGCTGTAGCCATAGTAGCAAAATCTTGTCTAAATCCAAAGGCATCAAAAAGGCCTCAAATGGCTCACATTTTAAAAGCATTGGAAAACCCTTTTAGGGTTGTGAGGGAAGAAGACTTTAGTTCGGGGAGATTAAGGAATAATTCTTCTAGAAGGTCTTGGAGTGCTGCTTTGTTTGGTAGTTGGAGGCAAAGCTTTTCAGGGAGTGTTCATAGTCAAAGTCAAAAGAGCAGAGAGGGTGTTAGTGGTCAAAGGAGAGAGAATTCTCAAGGGAGTGGTGCGAATGATAAAAGATTGTCAAGTGAGATTTTCCCTGAGCCAGTAGACATCAATGATGTGGAAAGACAAGATGAAACTCGATAAATTATGGGCAATTTTTTTTATTATGGTTATGAGATTTTGTGGTTTGAAAAGCATGTATCTATTGTTGTTGTGCTTGTTATAGATCTAGATCCATTGAAGTTGAAATGTAAATTGCTAAAGTGTGAAGCTTTGTGACAAAATCAAATTGTGTTAGAAAGTTTGATTTGACACAAAATCCAAGGAAGATGTGTTTAAGGGCTAAGTGCTAGAAATAAGAGTACATATGAAGTAAATGAAAGGGCTAAATGCAAGAAATGATGATGTACTTTCATTTATCTGTGTATTTTGGCACCATACTTTCATTCTTTATGTTATAATGATACACCTTGAAATATCTACCTAGTTATAGCATTGTACATCCAATATTTTTCTTAGGAAATTGTATTTTGAAAAAGTAGTCGATTATGAGTGTTAAAGTTGTATTCTATTTGAATAATAGAATTTTCAAGGTATAATGATGTAATAGGAAGAAAAGAAAGTAGGATGTTGTCATCAACATATTGATGAAAGTATGTTGTTATTCTTGCATGTAATCCTAAATGGTACTCGGGAGCTAGAATCTCAAATTCCATAATCTGTTGTGTTTAGGTGTCAAAAAGCATATTTAAGGGATTTGATCATTCCTAGAGATTGAATTTCATTCGTTGTTTCATTAAAAGACAAGTGTCTTGTAGACCCATTAAAACACATGAACACTCTTTCTTTAACATAATCTACATTCCAATTTCTTTAATAGATAGCTAAAGAATGTGATTGAATTTCATTCGTATTAAAATTTCTTTGGCAAATTTCATTTCTTCCAAAAACAAAAGGTGAACCAAATGCTCAATAAATGTTCATGAGAAATAAAAAAATGATATCGGTGATATAGATGAAGATCAGGTGAAATTTTTACTCCACACAAGGAGCCCAAATGAAATCTTACAGATCAAAAATGGAAGAAAGATCAACAAAAGCAATCAAACCACATGTTAAATGCAAGAAATAACATTCTTTCTTTTATTTTATTTTTTCAGGTATTGTTTTTCATATCTTTGATTTGATTTAAATAAAAACCTCTCATACATAAATAAACTCATTTTGATTTGATGTTTTTGTCATTTTCTTGTTTTTGTCTTTTGTTTTTTACTTTATTATTATTATTATTATTATTATTATTATTATTATTATTATAATTATTATTATTATTATTATAGTTTTAATTAATTATATCTTTTTGATTATTTGTGTTTTAAAAGAAGTGCTTTTATATATATGTATTTTTGTTTTTCATTCGAACTATCTGTGTTATTTTTTCGTTACGATAATCCATTTGTTAATAACAATGACTTTAATACAGGATGGGCAAGGTGTTTCTAACTATAAGGTCATATGTTTAATCCCAAACATAAAAAAATAAAATAATAATAATAATTTTAACAATGACTTTAACTCTAAGGACCATTTATATATAAAAAAATAACTTTAGCGACCATATAAAAAATAACTTTAGGGATCATTTATATAAATTATCTTTTGTGTTGAAGAAATATCTTAATAATAATGATATGTCTCTTTATATATCAATATATCAACGTCATTAGTAATAGTGAATTGACCTTAGTAACAAATTTTGCTCTTACTAATAGCTATCGTCGTTTGATAATTAACATGGACTATCTGCGTTGTTTTTTCGTTTGGACTACACTATATTATTTTTTTCGTTCAGACTAACCATATATATTTTTTTTGTTCTACGATTATAAAGCATCAATATCCTATAGACCATTTCATTTATTATTGTTTTAGTCTTTTGTCTTTTATTTTAAATGTTAAAAGTTATTATCTTCATCTTAATATCATCACGCTTTCAAACACGATATTTGTTACTTTACTACAATAATAATAATAATAATAATAATAATAATAATAATAATAATAATAATAATAATGTGTATTTAATAAAAATAATAAAAAGTAACAATAATGGGTACAACATGAAAATTGCTACAAGAAATGAAGTAGGATGCTTGCTATATATATACTACAAATAATCGAAAATACAATAATACTATATCTTGCATTTAGCCCATCAAATTCAAACCACTAGAGATAGATTGAATCATAAACTAATGATACATGAATCATCATATGACAGGAAAATCACAAGTAAAGTATTTTATAAAGTTGTTAAATGTGCCAAAAACTTCAAACCCTTAAACCTATTTGACACATTCACACCAAATCCCAAATATTTTTCTCTCAAAACATCATCATCTACACATGACCATGTTACTCCTCTTGCCAAACTCCCAACCCACATAAACCTCTCTGAAAATGGATTCACCAAACTCCTATAAAACTCTTCTGCTTCTTCACACATAATTCCCTTTAAAAAACAACACACTTACATCAACACAAACCAACTAAAACAAGTATAACCATGGAGTAAAAAAAAGACTTACTTCTGCCATGGATGTGATCTTGAGTGAAACATCATTGCTAAGAATGATAACCTTTCTATCTTTACTTTCTTTGCATAAGTGAATAGCAGTTTCAAGAACTTTAATTTCTGTTTCAATTTCATCATCTTCCATGTGAATCCACCATTTTGTAGTCATCATACATTCGTCGATCCATTTCAATGCTAAACAAACCTTTTTTGTAGTTATGTTGAAGAAATCATGATCATGTTGCCTCTTTATTTCCTTTAGTTCCTTTAACACTGATTGAAGAAAAGTGTTAGTAGATTTATATGACAATAACAGGATAATCTTATATGTTATTTACCGATTTTGGGTATGAAAAGTTGAGTCCCTTTGAGGCCTTGTAGGAGTTTCAAATGCTTTAAAGACTCTTTGTGAAGAAGGGTATTAGTGTCAAGTATCATATTCCATCTTTTCTTTTCCCCTCCCTGAAAAGAGCCAATTACTAAGGGTGAATTATAAATAATGATATGATATGAAAGTAAAAGTAAACTTACATTAGATGAATCAATGCCCTTTTCATCATCATACTCTGACACATCAAAAATGTCTTTTTTACCCTCACTGACAGCTTCCTTCAACATTGCACAGATGTTTGATCCTTTACATTCATCTTCCTTCCATTTTCTCAAAGATTTCATTAAACAAACATTGGGATCTTTGTTCTCTTTATCTGGTGTAAAAAACTCCAATTCTTTTCCATTTAAACTATCAAAAAGAGTCCTTGAATCTTCTTTGGCTCTTGATATTTCTGGAGTAAAACTTGTTTCTTGATCCATGTCTGTTTCATCCAAAAGGGCCAAAAAATTCGATTCTTTCTTCAGAATTTCATGATTTACTGATTCAAATCTCACACCCATATCTACATCTTGTCTTGAAATCAATGATGTGCAAAGAACCATAGAATCTGATTCATCAGTGCATATATTAATCTCATTGCCTCTTGCTATTTCTTCTTCTTCTTCTTCTTCTTCTTCTTCTTCATGGGTTTCAATAGCATCAAAAAGAGCCACAGAAAGATCTTCTGGTTTGTTTATGCTATCAAAGATCTCTGTTTCAGATAAAGATTCAGAGACCACAATTGGGGATTGAACTGAAAGAATGGCAAATGTTTCATCACTTCCATTGTCTGTATCAAACTCATCAGCTTTTGAGTTGTTAAGCACAGAAAACTGTTCTTCATGGGATTTATTTTGTATTCCAGCTTTTGAGCTAAAGATTTCACCATTTTGGTTTCCTTTTTTAGATGGAGTCATGTGTTCTTCTACCTCAGTCTCATCACATGAAGAACTTAAGTAGTTTGGTGCTGAATATGTCGATGGGTTCAATTTCTCCAAGGAGGAATGAAGATTCGTGTTGGAAAATGAAAATTCCGAACTCTCCAAATCCTCATTAGAGGAATGTGTCTCGAGATCATACGAGCGACGTTCATCCTATATAAATCAAGAAAAAGAAAGAACGAACATAAAGAGGCAATTCATCGAACAGCTTGCAGGCAGACATTATTTACGCATCACAATCGTGAACTTTAGATAATTTTAATCGAAAACTGATAGATACCTGTGTTTCTTCTTGTTTTCTGAAGGTGGGAGGCACGAATGGATCATTAACATCAAAAGCTTGGCTCAGTGGGACCCAATGCAGCTCGTAAACCCTACTTGAACCACCCATCTTCACCGTGTCTCCCTCTTTCAGTTTCACAGAAACCCCTGGTTCAATTCTCTTCCCCGACACCCATGTTCCGTGAACTACGATTTTAACAATATCAAATAGATAGTAATGAATCATTTCCCCCAATCCCAATACAATATAGTCAAAGAAGATTAAACAATTTTACCTGATGATAGGTCAACTATTGAGAGCGTATGTGAAGACGGATTTGAGTGGATACGGAGATGATATCTGCTGATACTAGGGTGCTCCAGAGTAATGTTGCAATCTGGGTGTCGTCCAACAAGCAAAATTTCTTCATCGGAGTCGTGATTTATCGATGATGTTCCGGCTGCAGGTTGTTCGGTGGAGAAGGGAGGTGGTTTGCGTAAAAGAAAGATGTTCTTGAGGATGGAACCGTTCTTCAGTACAGTGAATGCCGGAGTTTTCTTCACCTGAATGTGGATCTCTTTGTCCTCATACATGGCTGGGTTCTTGAAATCAAAGAGACTGTGATAATGTTCTTCGTGGCTTCTTGAAATCAAAGAGAGTGTTGTATTTTTCAATGAAGGTATTACCGTTGACGATGGCTTTGAAACGGCACAAATACATTATGAGAAGGGTTCTTGAAGAATTTGAAATTCAAAATGGAGTAGGAATTGGTATCCTTCTTTGTCATCCTTTTTGAACATAGAAATGAGTTTGCCTTGTGTTTTTACCGATAAGAAAATTCTTTCACCATTTTTATGTAATAGACTTATAAATATTAAAAGGACAATGTTATAAAAAAACCTTAAGTTTGGCAGAAAATATCGGTTTTACCCTTCGGCAGATTTTTAGTTCGTTTATACCGCAAACTTGTCATTTTTTTGTCTGTTTTGCCCTTGTTACCTGCAATAGCAAGTTTCCAGGTTACTATTAATTATTTTTTGCGAAAAAACCCTTAAGTTTACAAATATTTTGCAAAAAAACCCTTAATGTTATAAACATATAAAATATAAATACATATTCAAAATTTTATAAAACTAAATAGTTTTCTACTGAAACATATTTTTATTTTTATGTATGGTAAATTTTATATTTGTTCGATACAAAGTTTTTATATTTAAATTTTAAAAAATACCTAGGTTTATCAAAATTTAAATATATTTATTAATTAATACTTAAATTTTTCAAAGCAATATTAAAAAACGTCTGTTAGCTAATAATAATATGACATTAGTTATATTCAATTAATTTCTTTAAAAGAAAAATTAAATTATTTTATTTTTTTAAAAGGTTTGTATTTCAGAAATAATAAACTATCATATTTTTTATAAAAATAAATATATTTATATAATAAATTAGACAAATATATTTATATTTTATATGTTTAAAATGTTTATATTTATTTATGATGTTTAAAATTTTTATTATATTTTTATAAAAAAATATGATAATATTATTATGTATTTAAACATAGAAAAATACGATACGTTAGTATTTCTGAAATACAAACTTTTTAAACATATAAAATATTTTTATTTACCTTTTAAAAAAATTAATTGAATGTATTTGATGTCATATTATTCATATTAACTATTTTAGCATAATTAATTATTAACTAACAAATGTTTTTTAATTTTGTTTTGAAAAGTTGAAGTATTTATTAAGAAATATATTCAAATTTTGATAAAACTAGGTAACTTTTTTAAAATTTAAATATAAAAAGTTTATATCAAACCAATATAAAAGTTACCATATGTAAAGCTAAAAATATGTTTCAGTAGAAAACTATTTAGTTTTATCAAATTTTGAATATATATTTATATTTTATATGTTTATAATATTAAGGGTTTTTTTGCAAAAGATTTGTAAACTTAAGGGTTTTTTCGCAAAAAATAATTCATAGTAACCTGGAAACTTGTTATTGCAGGTAACAAGGGCAAAACCGACAAAAAAATGACAAGTTTGCGGTATAAACGAACCAAAAATCTACCGAAGGGTAAAACCGACATTTTCTGCCAAACTTAAGGTTTTTTATGACATTATCCCACAATAAAATTTTATGTTGTATGGTTTGACATTTCTTTTTAATCATCTTTTTTATTTTTAACTTTTTTAAAAAGTTGAAAATTACTAAAAATTGTTTGTTAAATTAAAAAGATTTTTTAAAACCAACTTTTAGTCAAAAAGGAAAAGTTGGCCGGATAAAAGATAAGAATTCCTATCTTTTTGCTTTTAGTTTTTATTACTTAAAAGTCATAAAAGACAAGCCAAACACATTTTAAACATCATATTTTGGATAAAGTTCTTTTACAAAAAGGACTTTTATGTTCAAAAAACAATCCCAAACACACACTAAATATGCTCCTTGTACATAATTACTTATTTTAGGGAGATGAAATCAATTTTCCCATTAAAGGTTTTTTTTTTAAAAATTTAAGAACTTAGCAACAATCATTTTTAGGCGGTCGAACAGAGTAGATCGATAAGGCTCCTCAGCTCTGTTGCTGATGTGGCTTCGTAAACACCAGCAACCAACTGTGTATCTCTCTCATCGGCAAAGCCTGGCAAGGGAAAAGGTTGAGGTGGGCAAATGAAAATGCTAAGGTGGAGCTCAGTACACACGACACCACTCATTTCGACCTTAACTTTAACGATATTAATGTGGAAAAGGAAAAATGTGAGGAAATGGTATTCTACGACTTATTTATATGATCATGACATTTGTAATTGCGAAAACATTTGAATCGATGAGTGAACACTTACTTGTGATGCAATGTCTTTCAGTAATATCTGAAAACCTTAGTTGTGACCTTTTCATCTTGTTGTTAAAAGAGAAGATGTGAAATATGTTTGAATTTAAATAGGAAAACTTTGGAAACGAGATCGTGAATTCGTATATATTATTCAGGTAGTCATGTTATGTTAGTTTTGTAATATTTTATTATGTGGAATAATATTCTAACTGATGGAGATACGTACCCTAAGCCATATCAAAGCATGGTAATATTACTATAAATAGTAATGTCCTTTTGGGTTACACGCAAGAATAAAAATGAAGCAGATCTAAAAAGATATTTATTTAAGGGACTTATTTTGTTAATTAATTAATAGTTTAATTAATTAATACGACCTTGGTTCCATATTGTCACACCCCGAACCGGACGACAGAAATGTCTGAGGGCTCGCATGACTTAAATTGAAATATCATCATAATGAATATACATGAAACATAACATAAACATCATCATGCATTAATACATTACAACTGACCTTGTTCACATCAAGTACATTGTCTAAATATTACATATCCATAGCATAAATTGTTTGAGAGTTTTCAAAACATAACATATTAACACTCTTGGTATTGTTCTTCAGCTTATATGTTACCTGAGAATACAAGTTATTTTGAAAACGTCAACATATAGAATGTTGGTGAGTTCATAAGCAGGTTTGATATGAAAATGTTTTGTGTAGTTTATAAAACCCAGAAAATCCGATATTTTCTTAAACGACAATTGTTTATACAAAAAGTATGATGATCCATAGGTATATGCATGAATGATTTCAAAAGTGTATAAATGAGAAGTTTTGCATTATAGTTATTGAAAATACAAGTGAATAATGTTGATTTCCCCAGAAAACCCAATGTTTTCCGATAAAATAGTACGATCATTTTGTATTATTGTATTGTCACAACAAATGAATATGATTTCCCTTGATTACTTAGATGATATTGGATTTCTATGTGAGTCGTTATAACCATGCGTGATAATGACTAGTTCGTCTGTCTTGGCATTTTGGTGAACGCCATAATTGATCTTAAGATTTTGTCACCTTAGACTGGCCAAGTCTAACTGTAGCGAATAGCTTAGGTGTGGGGGAGTCAACCCCATATAGATCTGTACACAAACTTTTGCTCTCCATCCAGGAGACTTTGATTATAACTACAGACTACGACCGACACTTATTGGTGTCGTCCGTTATTACTCACTTAATCCAAATGAATTTGATTAACCTTGATTAACGACCTGAATTTTGTTTACTTGAATATAAGGTAAGGCTAACAGACACGAGAAGAGGACCACGAGTTCCTACTAATCACATATGTTATTTAAGGCTGTCGAGTATACAAAGGGCGTGTTGGCCTATTTCGCATATGATTTATTTGGACCTTAATAGCAATGCTAACGGGCCACTGAGGCCCAATAGCATGTAAAAGCCATTGAGGGTCCCTTTAAGCATCTAATTGGGTCACAGGAGGCCCAATAAACATGTATTATTTATGTTAGGCCCAAAAGTCATGTTAATGGGTCACGAAGGCCCAACAAGCATGATTAGAATCTTTCAAGCCCAACAATTTGAATGTTTACTTGTTTTGTATAGTATAAAAGTCAGGAATTGTTGAGTCGCAAAGTCACAAAGTTTGTCGATTGTTTTATAATGATATTTAGATGTATGAAATATATGTATATTCTTCATTCTAAATTCATAGGTTATAAAATTTTGTATTGTTGACCCAAATACTTTACTAGTAAAATATTTGACTCAAAAATATTGGTTTGACCTATTCAACACTTCTTTTAATAAAAATGACAATTTTTGTCCCTTTTTATGAAAAAATGACATTTTAGGTCCTTAAACAAATTTTTCTTGGCATTTTGGTCCAAAGACTCATTTAGATAAGGTTTTCAGCCCAAGATTTAGTTTTTGGACAGAATTAGCCCTTTAAATAAGAATTTTTTCACCTGAAGTCCAATCTTTCGCAAATTTTACAATTTTAGCCCAAAAGCCAAAAACTTTGCAATTTTAGTCCTATTTGATAAATAAGACATTTTTAATCCCTGAAACATGTTTATTTGCGTTTTTAACCCTTGTTTTGAGAACCTTACAATTTCAGCCCCTTAAAATATATTTTTCACTATTTTTGGGCCTAAAGGACGAAAAGCCTAAAGTTTAGCCCATTAGGCTAAAATTTACACTTTTAGTCCTTTAAAAGTCAAGATTTTTATAATAACTCATATTTTATCTGATTTAACCTTTTTGACCCTTATAAAACCGTAAATGACATCTATTTCTCATCTTTTGCTTATTTGTCAAAATTGGTTCATAATTTAGATTTGTGTTTTGTTTTGCTTGTTTTGAATTCGTATACTACTTTGATCTTGATAATAACATGTATAAGATGTCTTAGAACACATATATCCTTATCATGGTTAAGGATCTTGAATAGATCATGATTTTTCACACATATTTATCAAATAAGTTCAAGAAATCACACATATCATGCAAAAACACAGAGATCTACACATTTTACTTATATTATCCCCCATAAAACATGTGAAAACCAAAAATAGAGGGGTATGAACTCACCTTGGGTTTGATGTTCATGGTTTTGAAGAAGAAATGATGAAAACGATGAGATCTTTCGTCCTAACAAGCTTCTTTAGAAGTCTTTGGGCTTAGATTGCTTCTAAGGAGTATGATCATGAATTTGAATGAATTAAAAGATGATTTTTGATGAGATATAGAAGTTAAACTTTGGATTTAAGTAAAAACTTACCAAGGATTTGTGTTATGAGTGAAAGATCTTCTTGGCATTTAAGCAAGTCTCAAAATTTTGAAGGAAGAATGGAGATGTTCTTGAGAGAATTTGATAGTATTGGAATGGAGTTTGGTATGTGTATGTGTGTTACTACCTTCGGCTGTAAGTGATAAGAAGAGAAGGG